GCACAGGTTTTGTCTTCTTGGTCTCTGAGGATGAGGAGACCCTTGCTGGCCGTCTCTTCCCCCCAACCCCCATAGACCTGGCGCTCTCTCTCTCAGCCTCTCTGTGCTGCCTTCCTGCCTGGAGCTGAGGATGAGGTTGCCATGGAAACCTGAAGCGCAGCGAGCAGGGGAAGGGGAAGGCAGGGCTGTCTCACCAGTGCTGGGGGCTGTGGGGAGGCGACCAGGCTGACCCAGCAGGAGCAACGCGCCTGTGCTCATGCCCACCTGCCCTCCTTGTGCTTGGGTTGGGGCTTAAGGGGTGGGGGTAGTGGCTCTGGAGCTCCTCTTTTAATCTGATGCAGAATTAAAATCTTTCCTCCTGGATTAAGCCAACATTAATTTAGGCGGTAGGAGCCCCTCAATCATTCTGATGGGATTAGTGTTCCCACTGTGGGGGCTGGGATTGGGGGCGAGGGAGGGAGGTAGTAGTGGTTTCTTCAGTTTGGCTGTAAAAGAGAACAAGGTGTCTACCACCTCTAGCCAGAGGCAGTGGTGTTATTAGGTGGGTGTGGACCTCATTAGGTGACACCAGAACAACTGTCTGCATTTTTTTGCTTGTGCATTGTTTCAGCAGAAATGTATTGTTTTCTTAAAAGAAAAATATCCTTGTACATTCATCATAGTAAAAAGGCAAATACACATGCATATCCTTGTAGTTGACTATTTCAACAAATTTCTTTTGTAAGCCTGGTGCCTACATATATCAATATACCTAAACCAAAACCATTGCCCTCTAGTCTGTTCCAACTCACATGACCCTAAGGGGCATAGAAGAACTGTCTCCGAGGGTTTCCAAGGCAATACATTTTTATGAAAGCCGACTCCTCACCCTGGCCGGTGGATGTGAACTGTTGATCTTTTGGGTTAGCAGTGGAATGCTATAACCATGGCACCACTAAGTCTCCTTTACACAAGACGGAAGCTCTGCTGATTTGCTTTTCGAATCCTCTAATGTGCTTGGGTCAGAGTTACCATCTAGTTACTATGATACAGTTGCACATTTCAACTGGTGTTTTCATAGTTGCTGATTTTGTCAGATTCTTCTAGTGTTTCAGTGATAATGTTGTGGTAATTAGTTATTTGCAAACCTATCTCAAGAACAACTTTTTTGAGAGTGAAGTGATAATTAAAGGAAAGGAAGGAGCAAGACAAAGGCTTCTGCTCACTTGCTAATAATGTTGTAATTCAATGCAGAAAGAGTTTACAAAACAATTTTGTTGTTAGCATCCATATAATCTAAGACATATTGCATTTTGGCAATTTACAATTCTATTTATTGCACATTGTCTGATTTAAATTGGTGATAGACAGGAGTAAGGATTCTGTGGTCTGGTATGGGAGGGCCAAGCTGGGGGATGACACCAACCTTAGTGACACCCCTCTCCCGGGCACCTGCTGAGTATGGGAGGGTCTCCTGAGACCTGTTTTGAAGGCTTTTTTGGGCGCAGCGTGTGGGTGCAGCAGGTGTGTGAGGGTGGTCCGTGTGGAATGCGCTGGCCACGGTGTCTAGGAGACGCATCGCTGCAGCGGGTCTGTCTGCACATTCATCTGTGCATTCTTCACCATGTGTGAGGGAACGAGTGTGTGGGAGCTGCCGAGTGGGTGGGGCCGGGCAGGCTGATGTGTCCTTGGGCCTCTGGAGCTGGCTCTCCATTTTAACCTTGTACCTTTGGACAAATGAAAAACTCCAGAGTTTGCAGACTAGCTCACACAGACATCAGCTTGCGCAGCCTGCCTCTACCTTTCTGCCCATACTAACCTGCAGAGTTGACCCTTGGAGCTCAAGCCTTGAGCTGTCCTAGAGGTATTCCCCTCCATCCCCTCTCAGGACCTAATTTCTGCTTTCTGCCATGTGAGTCTCTGCTGGTAGTTGCACCTTCATCAGCCCCCTTCCCCCATGATGCCCACTACCAAGAGGGATAGAGACTATTAAAGCCCTCCCTTCTAGAACCTCAAGGCCAGCCAGTTCTGCCAGAGATCTCACTTCAGTCCCTACTGCTGGTCTGTTCCTAAAGAGTAGATTCTCAGCTGATCTCCCTTTCCAATGAATCGCTCCAGACGTATTTTTAATTTTTTAAAAATTTTATTATTTTGCGTGTGTACAGTCAAATCGGATCTGACTGGTACAGGAGGATGATTGTCCCTCCTGCTCCAGCAGAGCATCTGTTGGATTCGAACCTCATACCTCTGGGATTGCAGTGCAGCTTCTTGCCACTAGGCCACCAGAGCTCCCTGTTCCAGACATTTTTAATTTTTTTTTTTTTTTACTCAGACATTTGGAAACATTTTATTGTTCTAAATATCTATATAAAACAAACAAAAATGCTTCTAGAACCATTTATTTTTCAGAGATTTTTTTATTAAAATTTTTATTTGAGTGAAAGTTTGCAGAGTAGAGTGGCTTTTCATGTAATTGTTTTCAAACTTTGTTGTTGTTTTTTAATTTTTTACTGTGATTTTAATGAAAGTTTACTGAGAACTTGGGATTTCCATTCATTGTTGCACCTTTTCCTGGCAACTCCCCCACTTCCCTTTTCTCTTTAAAAAAAAATTAATTGTTGCACTGTTTAGAACACATTTTGTTCTATACATTAGTTACAATGCTCGCAATGTAGTCACACTTTTCCCACTTCTTCCTGATGATTCTCACGTCCACTAATCTTTTATCTTCCCCCTCCCTACCTTCAGGGCTTTAACTAGGAGGAAATGCTGCTCTCTTGACCTTATAAGGTTGGTTATTCTACTGGAGTGAATGCCTTCCTCCTGTTATTGTTCACCTTATCAGAGTGTTGTTTGAAAGTTGCCTTAGGGAGGTAATTTTATTCCAAGGTTTAAGAGTGAGTCAGAGCCATCTTCTGGGGGCTCCACCAGTCTTTCTTTTTCTTAATGGTTTGACCTCACCACATCCAGAATCTTCTACTGTGATCATTTTTAGAGTGTGCTCAGGAATTTTGAATGGCGCTGTTCAGCTGTGGGTGGCCCCCATCTGCATGGAAGTGAGCCAGGCCTGGTGACAGGACCCACAGCCTCAGCCCTGCATTCATCCCTAGGTTCTTCTATTGCCAGCTGCCAGCACCTGTGTTTGCTTTTCTGTTTCCTCCTCCCTCTGGTGTGGAGCTGTGTGTCTGGGCCGACTGAGGATTCAGGACCCTGGAATCCTCTGGGCTCAGGACAGTGAAACCAGCCCAGAAGGGAAACAGATTTCTTGTGGTCTCCCAGCAAGCCGGTGTCAGAGCCTCTGTGCACCTTCGAGCCACTCCTCCCCCCTTGGTTCAGTTCTCCAAATCCAAACCCCAAGTCCTGCCCCTGCTGAGTGGTAGCCCGAGGCCGAGGGGAGGGGGGAAGTTGTGTTCAGCAGGTAGGGTGATGAGGTGACTGGAGAACATGCTGGTTGCAGTTGAGGGTGGGGATGGGGGACAGCTCATGTTGGCTAGATAACATGACTTCCAACTGGGCTGGGGTATAGCTGACAGCCTCCCAGGAAGGAGGTGCACCATTTCTTCCCTAAGGGAAGCTAGTCTGCTGTGGTCATAGCTGTGGTGGGGTGTGGTCACCCAGATGGCCTGGCTCCTGTGGGGCGCTGGCCATTTCACATGCAGATACATGCATGCAAACCATGGGGACTCAGGGACCTTTTATGTCTCAGTAGGATATAGGACACCTGAGTTCTAGTCCCAGTCCTGCTTTCATGCCCATTATGATATTCATTTATTCCACAGTTATTTATTGAGCACCATATACAATTCTAGAAAGAAATCAATGAACCAAAGAGACCAGGAAACCCCTCCCCTCATGGAGAAAGAGTGGGAGAGAAGACAATAAAGTCACTGTGATAAATAGTTAATTATGAAGTCTGTTGGGTGATAAGTGCCTGGGGCCAGCGTGGAATTCCTTTGCTGTGTAAAGAGGAGGTGGAACCAGATGGCGCTGGAGGTTCCTGCAGAGTCATTCGATTTGTGGTCACCTTTGCTCTTCTTGTCCACTGCTCGCTCTCTTTCTGGAGAAGACCCTGGTCTGTCTAGGCGCTGGCGAGACTGGCGGCACATTTGAATCTCATCACTTCCTGGCTGTGTGTCTGTTTTGTTGAACTTCTCTGAACCTCAGCTTTCCCACCTGTCAAAGGGGAATGGTGGCAGTACTAACCACACAAGATGGTCGTGAGGATTTGTGAACTTGGGCATATAAATCCCCAGCACAGGATTAGTAACATTCATTGTACTGTTATCTGTCACCTGTGGATCACTCACCATCTCTGGCCTCTCGTCCACACTCCAGTGAAGCCGGACCATACCAGCCATTTGAAATGCTAGTTTGCTGCCCTTTCTCTCCCCACTTCCTTTAGGAAGCCCCCATGTCTCTTTCATGTATTCCTTTTTTTCCCCCCTTAAGGAATAGTAAAGTTACTTTATTAAATCATGCCTCATCAAGTGTGTTAGTGCAAGTACTTTAATCTGTACTCTAGAAATTCTATTGTACTCTTATATCTTTACAAAATAGATGTAAAACAGTTATTTACTTTATCATGTATCCTTCTTGTCTTCCTCTGCTTGGTTGGTTTCTTTACATTTCTGGTCTTCAGTGGAAGCTTTGTCCTGCCTCTCGGCCCATGTCATGCCCAGCCTGACTGTCCCTTCCTGGGTTATCTGGCTCTTTTAACCTCCCGTGAGTCATACTCTAAGCCATGGATGTTTCTAGAACAAGGGTAATCAGGTGTCCTCAGTGTCCTGATCTCCTTCCTTTGTGAAGTACTATTCCCTGGCTGACCAGCCCAGTGGAGGCTGAGAAACTCTTGCCTGCACTTGCCCTGGATGGTAGCCACCCTGGTTCTGCTGCTGATTTGGGGGTTGGGGCTGCCCAGGTTTTGAGGAAGTGGCTGGGTGTGAGCCTGAGGCCTGTGAGAAGCACAGCAATTCTCGATCCTTCCCTGGAGTGACTCCACTCTGCTTTTTTCTGTCCTGCAGACACTACCCCAAGCAGTCCTTCACCATGGTGGCCGACACTCCGGAAAACCTCCGCCTCAAGCAGCAGAGTGAGCTCCAGAGTCAGGTGAGGAACGGGGCTGGCACTGCAGCCTGGTGGGGCGGCTGTTGTAACCCCTGGATTTGGCAAGTTTTCCTTCCCCCTGTGGTTACTCAGCAGGGCCAAGGTGCTGAAATCCTAGCCTCGGTCTTGTCTCCCTGGCCGCTGCCACCCCCCCCGACCCCCCCCCCCCGCCCCCCGCCTCAGCCCCTGCACCTGGTTACATCATGCTTCCTGACCTTAGCAGAGGAATGAGAGTGGGAGGCTACAGAGGCGACTTCAGGTTGGGGCGGTGGGTGTCTGAGGTGGGTGCTTGGTGTTTTTATTCTTGGAGAATTCACGTAGACATCTAAAGCCCACCTCCTCCAGGAGGGTTTTCCTCTCTACCGTCTCTCCACAAAGGAGGGGCTGGGGAAGACTAAGGAACCCTACTTTCTAGTCTCCTGACAGCCTGAGGTTACCCAGCTGTGTCTCTGGCCGTGTCCCAGACCTCTTTCCCCACCGCTGGGCAGAGCAGAGGTGCTTTGTCACAGCTGGACTGCCTTTACTCCTTGAGTCTGCACCCTCTTAGTGGAGATAGGGGCTCCTGCCCCAGGGAGAACTCCTAAAGATTTTTAGGAGACTTTGAGGAATAAGTTCAGGGTTCAGAGCCCTGACACCGGAACGAGTACCCCTGCAGGAGTTGAGGTGAGACTAGGCTTTCGCAGAGATCCCTGAGGGACTTACACGGAGGGCAGAGTGCCTGAGGTCAGGAAATTGTTTCAGAGGATGCCACTGGCCACTGAGAGGGAACTCTGTCCAGATCCCTGCAGGGTGAGGTTCCTGCTGCCTGATCTTGACTTGACCCCCTGTGTCGCCATCTCCCAGTAAGTCTCACTGGGGAGAAACAGCCTTGCTCTGCGTAAGTTTTACATACACGTTCTCTGATTTAAGATTCCCAATCATCTTGTCACAGAAGTACTGTTATTCCCATTATACTGATGAGGAAACTGAGATTAAGAGCTATTAAGTGACTTGCTAAAGATTGTACAGGTAAGAATAATGGAATTAACAAAATAAATCTGAGTACTGAGGGCTTAATGCCCTGTTTACATCTGCTGTGTAACCAACACAGCAGCCTTTGGCAGTATCACCCCCACCTGTGGACAAGGACACAGATGAGGGTGGCACACCTGGCTTTGAATATAAACTTGGATATATGTATTCTTTCTAGTTTTTTTTTTTTACTGAAAACTTTTATTGTAATCAAAAAGTGACATAACTGGGTTGTAATGTCTTTCTAGTTTTCTATCCTATACCCTGTACCTTAATGATAAAACATGATAATCCCTTATGCTTTTGTAGCTTCACAATTGCTTTTAGTAGCGTTGTTTTTACTTGAACCTGTTCTGGAGACGTGGTGTCCCCATTTTATAGATGAGAGAACTGAGGCTGAGAGAGGCTCAGAGTTCTGTCCAGTGACACAGTTAAATAGCCGGCTCCAAGATTTTGGCTCTGAGCTTTTCACCAAGTGTGGTGACCTTGACCATGTACAGCCTGGTTGGACTTGAGGCTCTGCCCCACCCCTGCATGTTCCTCAGTGGTGGGAAGGAAGTGGGAGAAGCTGGTTTCTCCCCCTGTGGCAGCTCACATCTGCCAGCCCAGACCCCACTCCCGCTGTGGCGTGAAAGCTGCAATTAGAGGGGGAAGAGTGTGAATGCCAGACTTCTGCCAAATGAGGAGGACAGAGTGGCCCAGCTGGCGGAGAGAAGGGTCAGACAGCTGGGACTGGTCTACATGCTGCATCTTGTGGGACGCTCATTGAGGGCAGAGGCAGAGTGAGGGGTGTTCATGGCAGACCAGAGTATCATGGGACGGCCTGGCTTCACCCTGTGACTTGAGAGGGGCATTCAGGACCCCAAGTGGTGTGAGCCACAGCAGCAGAAGCTGGAGGACAAAATATGGGGTGGTGGAGGGCAGGGGGAACAGGTGTCTGGTACTTGTAAAGATGTGGGTCGAGGTATGTGGTATAAAAACACACTCCCCACTCTCGAGAGGTGAAATTTAAACCCGGTTTTGGCTGTGATCTTAATTCCCTTAGCCCTTGTCACTCCATAAAAGCGCAACTGCAGGTCTTTTTGCCCTAGAATCTAATTTCTGAGGGGCAGGGCCCATGGGAGGAAGCACCCTTGTTAGCTACCTATACAGGGGAGAGGGGCAGCGATGCCAGACAGAATGTGCCCTTCCAGAGGGAAATCATGGGCCTCACGGTCACTCTTCATTAAGTGCTGTGGAGGGCCAGGCTCAGCACGTATACCTGACTTCATTTAATTCTCACAACCAGCTGATAAAGAAGGGACTCTTCCTATTTTGTCCATTGCACAGGTGAAGAAACAGGTTTAGAGAGGTGGTGCCACTTGCCTAGAGCCCAGTGGCAGGCCATTTTCAAGCCCAGTGTTACTCTTAACAGCTCTGCTGTCTGCTGTGCCATCCAGTCCCACACTCTCAGCCTGCAGGGTACACCAGCATCACCAGCAGGCTAGAGGGGTGGAACTTGCTAGAATGCAGATTTCTAGGTCCTGGCTTCTGATTGGCAGCTCTGAGTAAGGCCCTAGAAGCTGCATTTTAACATACTCCCTGATGATCCTAATGTAGGTTTAGCCCAATGCAAAATTTTGAGATACTTGAGATACTTGATGCTGGGCTGGTGGATGGAGAGGGAGGTAGACAGGAACAGCCAACATGGACTTAGCCTGTTTCTACTCAGAGGGTGTGATCCATGGGAGGTAGGGCCTTGCATAGCCCTCATGTCCTAAAGTGCTAGTCCTGGGGGACTTGGGCCAGTTTAGGGGCCTTTGGCCAGTTAGAGGCAGGCTGGGATGGGCAGGGAGCTGAGGGGAGAAACCCTACCCAGTCTCCCTTCCCAGTTGCAAATGAGGTGACTTGGGCCAAGCTGTATGATCGAGGTCATTTGCCTGCCCTGGCCTGTCCCACCCACCAGCATGTCAGTTGGTTTCTTTCCAGGACCCCTTTCTGGGTTGGCCCTGGTGTGTCTCAACTCTTTTCTAGCCTTGGGATGTTGCCTGTGCTATTTCAAATTTTATTCATTTTCCGGTCTCTATATCGGTCCCGAACATGGTACTTTGGGTGTCTGGGACACCTGGAGCCTCCCCTCAGGGGGAAGTAACCACAGAGCCACCCAGAAAAGGCCCTTAGGGTGGCCCTGCCCAGGCCTGGCATAGGCAAGGAAGCTAGCGCTGGGCTCCTGTTACCCCCTGCAGCTCCCCCACCCCAGTGAGGAGAGGCAAGAACTCTGTGGGATGGCCCTGAGCTGGGCGACTCAGAGCTGACCCTCTAGCTGACCCAGGCAGAACTAGGAAGAGTTTCTCTTTCATTTTGCCTCTTGTCTTTTTTTTTTCCTTGTGGTTTGGGTGAAAGTTTATAGGGCAAATTAGTTTTTCATTCGACAATGTATATATGTACTGCCTGTTTTGTGACAGTGGTAGCAGTCCTTTCAGTGTGACTGCACTCTTTCTCATTCCTCTCTGGCTACTGTGATTCTATCAATCCTTTCCTGCCCATTTCTGTCTTCCAAGCTTTGTTTTGGGACAAATGCTGTTCTCTTAGTCACCTATGGTTAAATGTTTTGGTTTTTTGTGTTTTGTTTTGTTTTTTAATTATTTTATTATCTTTGTGTGTGTACCGTCAAATCACATCTGACTGGTACTGGAGGAAATTGAACCTCCTTCTCCAGCAGAGGATCTGGTGGATTCAAACCGCGCACCTCTAGGATTGCAGTGCAGCTTCCTGCCACTAGACCACCAGAGCTCCCAGGTTGAAAGTTTTGGGGAGTATATTCTTCCCTGGTGTGGAATCAAGATGACTTATATATGACCCCCCAGAGGCAGTAAATCACACATTGAGCTGATTGCCCATTTTCTGCAAGAGGTGGATTCAGTCCCAGGGCTGAAGGGTGTCTAAAGGCCAGGTCTTGGGTTTCTCACCAGTTTCTGTTAGAACCAATAAATCTGGTCTTTTCAATTTTTTTCTTTTCTTTTTTCTCCTCCATCCTCTGTCCAGTACTTTTTATTGCGATTGAGATCAGAGCGGTCAGTGGTGTAGCTGAGGGCCCAGGGCCACCTTGTGCTGGCCTGTGGTTGTGTGATTGTTGAGCCTTTGGTTTTCTGCATTGTCATGATGCTGTTCTGGAGGGGGAGGGAAGTGAGGTCAGGCCCACAGGGTGTATTGAACCCACAGCTCCTGTGACATGCAGGAACACGGCAAGTGGGAATGCCTGTGTGAGCCAGCTGGCCTAAAGTTGAATCTGTCACCACTGTGTGGCCTGGGGCAAATGACTTCACTTCTCTGTATCTCCCCTTTTTTCATCTGTAACGTGGTGATCATACCACCTCTCTTAAAAAGTTGGTATGAAAGTGGTAGCATATGTTGGACATTTGGGAGAAGAGTCTTTGGCAAGGAGTCAGCACTCAAATAAATGTTTGCTGTTGTACGGCTGACCACGCCTCCCTGGCAATTCAAATCCATCAGCCTCTCATGCAGTTTAGTCTTGGAAACCCAAAGGAGAGTTACTATGTTGGTTCCAACATGACAGATAGGAGGTTTTTGATGGTCATTGTTATTCTGGAGCATAATTATTTTCTCTTCTGGAAAAAAGAGAAAATGGAGCTTGGTGGGGAATGGATACAGTGACCTTTTTGACTTTCACTTCCAACCCTGGCTTTTTTAATTTATTCTGTTTCACATTTGGGTGGCTGCTGATGTCTGTGTGTCTAGTTTAAAAACACATTTCTTTTTCATTAAGGGAGAGGGGGTAGTTACATAGTATATGGTCCCAGCACATAATAGGCACTCAGCTCACTCATTACCATTGAATTGGAGCCGACTCATAGGTGATCCTCCAGCAGGTTTTCAGAGGCTGTATATTGCAAAGGAGGAGATTGTCCATCTTTCTCTCAGAGTGGCTTCAAACTGCCAGAGAGATGTATTCTTGGAGTTAGCTGTGCAACTCCCTGTGGACTGTGTCACTAGTGATCTAAACCCTATCCTGTCCTATGCCATCCTCATGTCTTGGCACACAAGCCCATTACTGCAGTCACTGTGTCAGTCCACCTTGTTGAGGGTCTTCCCCTCTTTCACTGACTCCACGATGCCCCTTCCCAAGGAATAGCTCTCCTGGCAACATGCCCCAGTATGTGAGACAAAGCTTCACCATCCTTGCTTCCAAGGAGAATTCTGGCTGCATTTTCCCCAAGACATGTCTGTTTGTTCTTTTGACATTCCATGGGATATTCTGTACACTTCTCCAGCACCACAATTCAAAGGTATCAATTCTTCTTCAGTCCTTCTTATTGTCCAGCTCTCAGAAGCATAACAAGTGACTGAAAGACCAAACCCTGAATCAGGCACACCTTAATCTTCAAACTAATATCATTGCTTCTCAGTAATTTGCAAAGTCCCTGATAGTGAACTTGCCCAGTGCATTACAGCTCATCTCTTAAAGCTGGTATCAAGGGTGTTGATTGTGGATCCAAGTAAGATGAAATCATTGACAGCTTCAGTCTTTTCTCCATCTATCATGATGTTGCTTATTGATCCAGTGGTGAGGATTTTTGTCTTCTTTCTTTTTTTTTTTTCGCCCTGTTTTCGTGCCTTTCCTTAAAACAGCCAATCCTGTATTGCCCTGTTTTCGTGCCCTTACTTTGAAGATTTTTGTCTTCTTGATGTTGAGATGCAGTCCATATTGCAGTCCATATTGGAGGTCTTTGGTCCTCTGCAGCAAATGTTTCAGTTTTCCTCGCTTTCAGTGAGCAAGGTTGTGTCATCTGCATAATGCAGGCTATTGATGAGTCTTCTTTCTATGCTGATGTGACCTTCAGCGAGTCCAACTTGTCTAATGATTTACTCAGCATATAGATTGAATATGTGTGGAGAAGGGAGAGTCGGCACTAGTACATGGAAATCATTAGCAACACATTTTGCTTAGTGAATGTTTTTCAAAGCCATGATCTTTTCTTTTATGTTGGATCAGCATAAAGCAGTTATTAAATAACTGTCTCATATGTAATTTGAAATAAATTATATTTATGCTTAATTCCAAATTATGTTGGCTTGCTTATTTGGAGATTATGTGTCCGCATTAATTCATTCATCAGTCATTTTATGTACATGCAGGGGTAAGGAATGAATGGGCAGAATAAACTACATGTAAAATTCAACTCATTGCTGCAAGTCAGAACCAATTCATAGCTGAACCTCCAGCGGAGGCTTTTGGTTTTGTATAGCAAATACGCTTTATTTAGAATGCGTGCTTTGATGAAAGCTGATTGAGGCTCTCCTGGCTGCAGCCTGGAACAAAGACAAGAATAAATAGGGTATTTATCTATTGGTTGGTCGTAATGACAGCAATTTCAAGGGCCTGGGGCCATTTTTCACTATTTCAGCACTCCGTTTTATCTTCTGGGGTGGGACATGAAACCAGGTTTAGGCATAGAACATTAATCAGATTATTTACTATTTGATGAAACATAGGGAGATATTTGGGTAGGTTCAGAAGATCAGCAAAATGGAATGGCTTTGATTTCAACCTTATATTGCTAACTTAAAGTAAAGAGGAAAGAGGGTGAAGATCTTTTAAAAACTATTTCCTACTGAAATGGGACAAAGCCAGGGAAGGGGTGTTAGGTTGAAGGGGGCTCGAATGGACTTGGTTGATATTGAAAGCTAGTTAATAGGAACTTGTCCCATGGTCTGGTTTATTAAGGCTTCAATTCTTGTACAAAGATGACAACCTGGGGTTGTGATGGTTAATGGGGTGCTGATTTCTAGGTTCTGTGAGCCTTCAGCAGAGGCAGGACTAGCCAGGTCTGGCAGGGAGGAAGCGGCTGATAAGGAAGGGTCCAGTGGGTTTTGAGACCATAAATCACACAGGAGCCTGTCTTGAACCACCAGAGAGGCACATGACCTTTGGTTTAACGCACAACAATTGAGTTCCACTTACATATAAAAGTAGAGTGATCTCACGGTTGGCAGTTGCTTGACATATTACAGGGAGGTCTGAGCTGGTTGCTGCGAGTCTGGGGCGAGTCTGGGGCATAATCCTGGCCCACCTTCTAATGACCTTGAGCAGGTTCCTTCCTTCTGTAGAGACCGTATTTATCGTATTCTGATTATCCATCTCAGGCAATGGGGACTGACTCCCACCTGAGTGGTAAGGGATCCCTGACGGAAAGACATGGGGCAGGACCCTCCCACTACTTTGGTTCTATCACCTCTGTCAGCATCAGAAGGCCTCTCAGAGAAACTTCTGGTTTGATGCTCCAGTCAATGCTTGAAAAAAAAATCTTAAAAAAAAAAAAAAAGAAAAAAAAATCTTAAAGATAGTTCCACATTCAGAGCTGAGAGGACTTCTAGGCTTACCCAGGTCCAGAGGAGGAAATTGACTTGCCCCAGGACACACAGCAAAGTAGTGCTGAGCTCAGGCCTCCTCCTTTTCAGCCCCACTCCACCCAGCCTCCAGCGCCAAGAGTGAAATGCATTATCCTTCTCTGTCAGCAAGGGGAGGTGCTTCCTGAGCCTGGGAACCAGCTGATGTCACTGCAGTGTCTCCATGGCAATTATTCTCCAGGATTAGGGGGCCTGACCCTTGTGAAGCTGGGGAGTAGAGGAAGGCGTGGGGACTGGCATCGGCCCAGCACTTGAATGTGGATGAAGCACTTTCTCACTCCCCAAGTGGGGCTTTCTGAGCCCTGCTGTGTGCCCCCTGGTGCATTTGTTGTTCTGGAGTCCTTGTCTATAATCTGTGCTGTGACTCAGTGATAATTCTGATCCCCATTTTAAAGATGTAGAAACTGAGGCTTAGGAGATTAAGTCACTTGCTAAAGATTGCTCAGCAATCTATTTACAGATGAGGAGCGTGGTGCCAGAAGCCTTGGACTCGGGGCTTTTGCATCTGGAACATGGCTTTATTGACTTTGGTGCTGTCTTTTCTCTTAGAAAGTCACCCTCCTGGCCTATGGCTTCCTGGAGAGGCTGATAGGATACTAGGCAGGTTCTTGACGCTGCTTCCCAGAACTTCCTGCAGAGTCTGATAGGATACCATGTAGGTTCTTGGCCCTTGGGTGGATTGCTGCCTGTTCCTACTGTGTTACCGTCTAGCCTTACAGAACCAGTGCATTCAGGCCATAACTCTCTCTCCTCTTTGGGGACTATTAAGGAAGATGCACCTCAGAGATGGGTGAGCTGGGACCTAGAGTGTGAGCAGAGGGCTGTCAGACATGGCCTTGGCTGCATCCAAGTGGAGTCAGGAGCACAGCTCATTGTGTTGGTTGGTTGACTCTGCACCTGGGAACCACCTGGACTGGTCATCCTGGAAACTCCCTCCCAAGGGCCTGGGCCTCCTGTCCTCGACTGACCTGCCTTCCAGAACTGTCCATCTTCTATAGAGGAAATCCAGGCAGCAGCTGGTGAAGCTGGGAACAGCTGGCTGCAGTGGTGGCCAGCAAAGACTCTGAAAACATTTCCCTGTCCCATGAGCATCTCTTGGCCTCTCTTCCGTTCTTCAGAACTCCCGGGGAATGACAAACAGTTTGCCACATTTTAATTCCTTTAGTGTCAGGAAAGTCCTTTCAATGTTTACTTTGAGTCCTTTTAACACTTTGTTTTTCCATGAAATTCTCCTAAGAGGAAAGTAGTGGGTGGAGCTTGCTCTTCCATGAAACTTAGAATCCTGTGCTGAAGAGCTGTCTGTACCCCACCAGCTTCCTCCCCTCTGTAGCCGTGGTCTTAGAAGCCAGCCTGGCAGGCACCAGGAAGCCGCCAGGACTTGTCAAAGGCGCATTGATTGAGCCTTCCTTGTGGCTGTCTCAGCGCCCGCTTTTCTGGATGCCAGCTTTGTCCTTTGGCACAGCTTTCACTTTGCTGGCCTCTCAGAAACTTCTCCTGGCCACAGTGGTTAAGATGAAGGCTGGGAAGTCCTGGGAGCTCTGGGAAGAGGTTTACTATAGCTTTCATGGGCCCTCTGGTCAAGGGTCACACTCGAGGTTTGTATTCTGGTGGTTCTGAGCATTGGCTGCTAAGCTATATGATTTATAATAGGGAACTTTGCTTCTCTGTGCCTCATTTGTTGTATATGTAAAATGGGGCTAACAAGATTTAAACGATTTCATGGCAGTTGGCACTGTGCCTGCCTCTCAGATCTTACTCAGTAAATCTTATTGCTAGTGCTGACTGTTACTGAGTCTGTCCCCAGTTCATGTGACCACCCTGCACAATGAAATCAAAGCACTATCAGTACCACCTCCATGGTTGATGGTCAGTGCGACTGGACTGTGGCCATCTATTGGGGTTTCATTGGCTGGTTTCGGGAGTAGATTATCATGCCTTTTGTCCTAGTCCATCTTTGTGTGGAAGCTCTGCTGAAACCAATTCTGTATGACAGCAACACACAAGTCCCTTTGACAGATGAGTACATGCAGTGTACTGGCTGGAATCAAATCCAGGTCTCCGGCATGGAAGGCTAGAATTCTACCACTGGCCTACCACTGCTGCATTAGTAAATATTAGTGAGCTATTATTATTATTAATCTAATGCTTTTCCCCCCCTTTTCTTTTAATCTAATGCTTTTTTGACTAAGGCGTCTGTATTGAGTTGGGGGGTGGTATTAACCATAAAGGACATTTTTGGTCAGTTCTTGATCCTGGCTTCCTGCTCATATTTCTCAGCTGGTTGCGGCCTCAGAGTGCCAGCGGGCTGAGTCCTTCTGCTCTCCTGGGCCTGACTTGCATTCTACTTTCCTCTTCCTTGTTTTCCAGGTGCGCTACAAGGAAGAATTTGAGAAGAACAAGGGCAAAGGCTTCAGTGTGGTGGCAGACACACCAGAACTTCAGAGAATCAAGAAGACCCAGGACCAGATCAGTAATGTAAGCTCCTGCCCCTAAGATGCCCAGTTGACCTGGCCCTCATTGCTCCTCCCTGTCCTGCCAGCAGGCAGACATGAACAGGGCAGTTCTCTCTTCCCTCTTGACTGACTACTACTTGAGCAGAGAAAAAAGAAGAATTTGGTGCCTGAAGACACCTTTTCTCTGAGCACTCCCTGCCCCTGCCCACAGAGTATGTCCTCTTTGAAGGAACTAAACTTCTGTGGGGGTGTGAAATCCCCCCGCCCCCCCACTCTCTTGAGCTGGTTTTTTCCTGGGATTTGGTGGTTTCCCAGTGCAGACTGGATGTTTCATCTTAGTACAAAGGTCAGGCTGTGTGTGGGGGTGGAGAGGGGCAGCCTCCTCCTTTCTGCCCTGGGTGCTGACATTGCAGTCATTTCCGCCCTCCCTCAGCCTCCTCCCCCACCTTGGCTTGCTCTTCCTTCCTGTGTAAAAAACCCCAGTCTGCCTTGCCCGCTGCCCCTCACCCCAGGCTGGGCTCTCTGCCTGTGATGGTCAGTGAGGCCTGCCCGCAGCGGGGGTGAGAGTGGAGAGTGGGTGTTGTGTCGGAAGTCCACAGCATCATGCACCTTCCACAGTACCTGTGACCAGGGAGCAGACCTCATTTCCTATGTGACAGAACCACAGGCCAGAAGCCTGTGCAGCCTTGGGCTGGGGGTGGGGGTGGGGGGGGCGTGCAGAATGGTCCTGTCAGCCAGGAGCAGAGAGCAGTGTCCTGACACAGGGCTGAAGGCTGAGAGTCAGGGGGTGTCCAGTCCGTGTGGAGGCCTTCCATAGTGAAGGGCTGGGCAGGGAGTTGTCATGTGTGTAATGGGAGGAAATGGGAATTGGCAAGTTGTCCACTGTTAGCTTAAAGACTGGGAGGCTGGGCACGGAGGCTGGGCACGGAGGCTGGGAAGGGTCTCCAAGCCCCATAGCCCTCCTTACAACTCCACCAAGTCTCCTTGCTAAGATCTCCTAGAGAGTGGCCGAGTCCTCCTTCTAGAAGGTGCTTACAGAGGACTTCAAGCAGTGGGTCAAGTAGATTTCTAAAGTACAGAGCAGATAGCAGACTGGCCATGGTTTTGAGACTTTATTTAACCACAGCCTCCAGTAAGGAATACATTTTTCATGGTGACCTGCCAAGAAGGCATGCATTTACTTAGAGGAAAAACACCCAGAAACTAGGATTAGAAGTTTCTGAAAGAGGACTTACTACAGGGAAGGCATTTAGATACTTTTTATCCATTTTTAAAGATGCTGGTTGCAGTCACTAGGTGCATTTCACAATCCATTTGTTGACCTGCAGTGTGAAATCAGTGGCCTGAGGAAGTAGAGAGTCACGCTCTATGAGGAGGACTCTAATCCTGCTGGCCCTGCCCCCAATAAGCCCGTGACAGATGCCTCTTTGTAAATCAGGGCCCACTAATGGCCTAGGAGCTCAGGTGCTGCCATGGCTAAAGCACTCAGCCACTAAACAAAAGGTCAGTGGTTTGAATCCACCAGCTACTCTGAGGAGGGGGAAATGTAATAATTTGCTTCAGTAAAAGATTGACAGCATCAAATGCTGTGGGGCGCTTCCCCTGTCCTGTAGGATGACTAAGGAGTCAGAATTGACGAGAAGACAGTGAATGGGTTTTTGCATGGTGTAACGGAGTGAGTCCCCCCCAAAAAATCACCAAGCCAATTAGCCAAATTAACAGAGTTTATTTCGAGTTCGAACCTGGGCTGCCGCGTGCTGATAAAGCAGCATCCAGCCGAGAGCCCTGAATTGATGTCTGCCCCTCCTTTTATACCTCTGCTATTCCCCTGCCCAACCATACATGCCATGATTGGCCATCCACTGTAGTTGGGGTATTTGTCCACCTTCAATTGGCTAGCCATAGCTCAGGGAAACAGTTTGGAAACCTATTTGAATCTTATCGGTTACTTCAGGTGCAGGAATGTGGAAAAATCCTTTGTGCCCTTACAAAGAAGAAGAATTCCACTTTATGGCAGTTGATCATGGGATTTACCACAGGTGGGGGTTGTTTGTTTGTTTGTTTGTTAAGAAAAACCCCCTCAATGGGGAGCACTGGTGGCCTAGTGGCAAGGAGCTGCAACTACAATCCCAGAGGCGCACGGTTCAAATCCACCAGATCCTCTGCCAGGGAAGGAGGGACAATCTCCTCCTGTACCAGTCAGATCTGATTTGACGGTACACTCACACAAAAATAATAAAATAAAAAAAATTTAAAAAAACCAAACCGAACCACTCAAGCAGGTGGGCTGGGGTTAACTGTACTTTACCAGAAACTGAGTTGCTGATAACTGGTCCTTTCACATGGGTAAAGGCCTGGCTTCATATCCTAATCTTCCCTTCCAGGGTAAAAAAGGGTTGAGTTAAGTTGGAACCATCCCGCTCGGTTGGTTAGCTGACCCTCCAGTGGGTTTTCAGAGACAGTGAATGGCATGGGAAGAGATTGCCCGCCTTCCTCCTGCAGAGCAGTGCCCTGAGAAAGAAAGGTTGCTGTCACGTTGAGTCACTGCCACCCATGTCTGCAAAGGATTTTCAAGGCTGTGACTTTAAGGAAGCAGGTTGACAGTCTTGTCTTACAAGGTGCCTCAGGGTGGGTATGAACTGCCAGCACTCTGATTAGCAGTTACCACCCAGGAGCTCTGAGGGTGAGGATGTTGTTGCTACAACATTGAGTCATAGTGAGTTCAAATCATCATGGCCCTGGGTTCGTCAGACCAAACCCCTTCCTGATTCTGTGCCATCCTACCCTCCTGCTGTGCTCAAACCCATTGTTGCACTCACCAGTCAGTTATCTCACTCAGGTTCTCCTTCCCCCTTTGCAGACCCTCCCCTTTCTGAGTCTGGGACCCAGTCTAAGGACTGACCCTTCCTGATGGATGACATGCCCAAAGTATCAGAGATGAAGTCTCAACATCTTTGTTTTTATTTTAATTTTTTTCCACTTTGAAAGAGATTACTGTTTTGTTAACTGACCAGATTTCAAAAAAACCTATCATGGTTGACCCCTTAGTTCATTCATTCTTCTGATAAGTGTGTTGATCTGGTTTTCCAGGTTGCCAGCATCCCCACCTTCTACAAAATGAGTGGTCTTTTTCTTTATTCCACCTCGTGGAGAAGATAATTTGAAGAGCCGCAAGAAGTTGTTTGCTTCTTTGAAGCGTTTGTCAACAGTATAGATCTCATGAATCATCAGATTCTCCCTGCAGATGATGCCATATTTACCAAGAGATTGTGCAATCAAAGTGTTTTCTGTCAGAGCAATTAGCTTCTTAATGATTTTGCCATAACCATGCTTATAAATCAGTTCATTGACAGACTTCAGGTTTGGGTACCCCCATGCGACATATGGTTCTGCGATCCTTAACGCTGCCCTTGTTTTTAAAGAGCACACCAACTGCACTTCCAACACAGATTTGTTTGTTCTCTTAACAGTGCATGGGAAAGGGCTTACCTTAGGTAATGGGGAAAACTTTGAATGGCTCACAAAGCTGGAATCGAGACTTCCTTGTGAAGACTCTTATATTTTGAGAATTGTCCCAAATTTGTAGACCTGCAACCCCCACCCTCTAGCACAATCATTCATGCTTCCAGTCTGAGTTTTCAAGCTTCCAGAAAAATCCCATCCACACAAAGCCTATTCTACCTGCTATTTCTCCCACAGCCCTTTAGTTAAGGCGGTATTAACTTCTGAGAGCCCTGGTGACAAAGCTCACTGTGGCCACGACATCCACACCCAGGGGAGATAACCTTCTTATCGTTAACCACAGGGCTGCATTTAGCTGATTGTCCTCCTCTGTTCTGAGGAGGAGGGGAGAAAAGTGACTAGAGCCTGGCCCAGAAGCAGCTGTGCAGCTTCAGTTGGGCCCCAGTTGAGGGTGACCACAAGGCTAGAAGACTCAGTTTTGGTTAATGTCATTAGAGTCCCTTAGATGTGGGCCTCTCAACAACTCTGGCAGAATCACCTGGTAGGGGGGGGGTAGGGAGGGAAGGTTATTGAGAATGCATATTCTTAGGTTCCCTCCCCAGCATTAGCATCTCTGGGAGCAAGGCCTAGGAACCAGCATTTCAAACCCACCCTGCATTATAGCCGAGCTCTCACTCCAATCCACAAGTGCTTTGCCAACCCACACATCAGTGCCAGACTGGGCTGTGGCCCAGAAACCCCAGGAGACTTTAGGCCACATTTAGAAGGATTGCTAAATTGTTCCGGCTCCCAGCATTTTTGGGGAAAGATGCTGTTTAAAGCCCCACCTTTTGTTTTGCATCCAAAATGATGTTGCTGTGTATAGCTTGTCATCCACTTCCCAAATTACCCATTGCAGTTGGTTCTGACTCACCGAAAATAGAGTGAGGCTGCCTGCATCAATGGAAGCAGACCGATGGACTGAGCTGCCAGCCTCTCAGTTAGCAGCCCAGAGCTTAATCCACTGTACCACCAGCACCTCCATTTCACAGATTGACACCAACTAACTCCTAGCTGTTTCCAGAGATCAGACCATCTTGCAAAAAGGGAAAGATTGACGTTTGTGGAGGAATACCCCGCAGACTGGAGATTTTACTAGTGGTGGTGATATTGTTACATACTTTTGAGTTGGAAATAGCTCATAACTGACCCTCCAGGAGGTTTTCAGAGGCAGTAATCTCACAGGCGGGAACTCCCCATCTTTCTTCCTTGGGGCTTCTGGTGGAGTGGAATCACATGTCTCTCGAAACCACCAGAGCTCAGTGATGTGAGTGAACTGTGACTCCTGGCAGCCTTATGAGCATATCGAAACCTTGCCCTATCCTGACCACCCTCCAGATCCCCATCATGCTCAAGCCCATTGCTGCGGCCATGATGTCAGTCCATTTCATTGAGCGTCTTCCTCTCTTTTGCTGACTCTCTACGAGTGAGAGCCTTAAAAAACAAATGTCTGATCTTGTTAGGTGGTGTGTTCTTTGAATATGTGTTTTTAGTTCTGTACACAGTTCCAATTTACCAGCT